TTTTTTTTTTTTTTTCCCTTCTCTTCTCTGGCGAAGGCAACTTATAGAGTCTTCTGAGAACTGTACTGCATTAGATTATCTTCGAGATAATTCTTAAGTTAGCGCCTGGAGGCAGTGTGATGGGAGGTTCAAAGAGAAGGCTGTGCACTTTTTCCTCCACCGTATCACAGTTTGAAGTGGAAAACGTGCGTTGACGGTGATTTTCCACATGAGGTGGGTTGCAGAGTGCAGCCCCCGTGAGCCGTGGCTCGCCTTGGTTCCTGGGTGCTACCCCTGAAGTTGAGTTTAAAGCTCAACAGAATGGTCAGGTAAAGGAGCTGCTCAAAGAAATCCAGTATAATTCAATAGAGCCATTTTATTGGATTCTATTAACCTGTTTAACCTTAAACTAAAGCATGGCGGGAGTTTCATGTAGGAACCCACATACAAAGTGTAATACCGAATTTTAATTAGTGCGTTCCAGGTTTGATGTGGAATAGTCTCCTCAGCTCGCACTGCCTTTCATTATGCATTTTCCTTAGGATCTTGTTTTAAAGAAACAGTTTTAGTATGGAGGGTGGGAGGAGTACCCTTTGAATCAGGAAACTTTCTTTCACGAACTTGAAAACTGGATAGGTAAACTCTGAACCTTGATACTGAGATAAGGTAGGAAACTGAAGTTTATAGCATTACCACTTCGAGAAGTTAAGGCTTCTTTACTCCTGTTTTGAAACCATGTTGATGTCTTAATTTCACTGACTGCAGAAGTACTGAATTTTCTGTGTGAGGAACTTCAGCAGCTGATGATTAGTTATTGATTATTAACTTAATCCAGCGTCATTATTTTGCAGAAAGTAACCCAAGTTTCCTGAAGAGATTTAACATGAACTGAAGAGAACTAGTTGACTGAACTGAACACTTAAGTAGATAGATACTTTAGACCTCCACAGTGGATATTTTTGTACCAAAATTTGTTTTGATTTTGATGTCTTAAAAGCCAAATAATTACTGACTTTTAATTTTTTCCCCATATTTTGAGCATATGCCTTATTATATGCCTTGTGATTTGGACTCATCAGATACAAATTATATTTAAGGAGTGTTTACATTTTACCAATTGAAACAATGATTTCCAGTTTGTTTGAATTTTGTAACTATTTTCATTTCAAGAATGTTTATTCATATTCTTGATTCAGGTAGTCTGTGCCAATTCCAGGAGCTTGGCATTTCAAGAATCTTAGAGTTATGATGTATGTAACCTTGATATAATAAATAAGAAAGGTCTGTACGCATGTAGTCATTGAATTTCAGCATCCTCAGCATCCCTTTTCTGAGTGGTCCTCAACGCAGAAGTCTGGAGTTCTTGCTGGCCTGGGGTGAATTCTTTGCATCTCCCACTGCAGTGTTTACTGCAGGCATTTGTAGAGACTTTCTGGCTTGTGTGCACTTTCCCTGGTGGGGGCTTCCTGTAAGATGGACTGTGCTTTATTCATCTGTGTATGCTTCATGTCAAGTGTAGTAGGTCCTTTGTAAATGCTTGTGGTTTTGTTGGACTTAATCAAACTTAAGAAGGTAGCAGAGTGTCTGGAAGTCATGAAGGATGATATTATAAACTTGAAATATCTCATTTCCGTTTTTGTGTTGAATCAGATACTCTGTTAGGCTCAATTCCAATACTGAAAGAGGTAGCATGTATCTAATAATATTTTAGAAAATTTGAGGAAAAAGCTTAACATTGAGAATTTTATTCTTTAATATACGTTATCCACTGTGAAATCAGGGAAACACACTGTTACTTAAACTTTTTGATAGGACACCACGTAGAGCTAAAATAATGCAGTTTTTCTACTGGAGCAAAGTTTGAAAATTGTGAATTGAATCATCCTAATTGTTACCATAGGCCACATTTTAAGGCCACCTTCGTTTCACTTTATAAAGATATATTTATCAGTATATAAACTCCTGGAAGCAACATGACTTTCAGAGTTGAGACTACCTTTACAGGCTGTCCTTAAATGATACTTTAAACAGTTTTTGGCTGATGTAATGTGCTTCACGATGGATATACTGAAAAAACAGAGCAAAAACCCCAAACGAAAACAAAAAAACCAACACCCCACTATATTTTCTTTTTCTCTTAGACTTATATTTTCTTTCTTTAATAGATTATTATAATGTTTTGTTTATTTAAAAAAAATGAGGAAAATTTTCAAGCAATTCTTTTGGAAAGTACCACCACTCCACCATTTGAATAGCCTTGGCAAATAATGTTTGGGCAAATGCAAGGCTGTTTCCATAGTGTTATTTCTGTTTGAATATGTTGAGTTATATAAATAGTAGTCTTCACAGGGACATTGTCTTTGGACTACATGCACTTTTTTCCCCTCTCCTGGCACTATTACTCAAAACAGCTGTATAGTAAAGTATGTATGTGTTGTGTATGTGTTAGTCGCTCAGTTGTGTCTGACTCTGCGACTCCATGAACTCCTCTGTCCATGGAATTCTCCAGGCAAGAATACTAGAATGGGTTGCCATTTCCTCTTCCAGTAGTAGAGTATGATGGTGCTTAATTATAGGGAGCAAATAATTTCTCTTATATCATTGCTGGTTCCTATGTCAGTCCCAGGCTCCCTGGCCTGTCCACTCCCCGTTCTGTCTTTTCTACCCAGTTTTTGAACTGATTTTTAAGACTGAAAATACCTTAAGATCCTCAGCCCCTTCAGGAAGTGAAACCTGGAATTATTCCAGTGCCCCGAGCATCCATTGCTTACTGAGATATGATGTTTTCTTATATCCTTTGCACATACTCAGTTTGACTATGAGATTCTCATTTTGAAAAATGCTTTTACTCATCAGGAGTTTTGAAACGTATGCCATAAACATCTTGGGGAAGTATATGTAAAGCATGTAGAATATAAATATAGATTTAGATGGAGTTAGGTTATAGAATCAGACAATTGGTAAGAATTAGTAAGAATGTCTAGTCCTTTTCTCCCACTCTTGAAGGTCACACGTAAGTCTTTTAAATTTAAGAATATAATTTTGAGTATTTATTTTTAAAAGTAAAGCAATTCCACAGTCTTTCCTTGCTATTAACTAGTCCATAGAGTTGATGTGTTTCTTGTATTATTCGTTTTTGTGTTTGGGATCCTCTACGGACCTGAACCCTGTCTTGAGCCTGCTCAAGAGCTCTCCTCGCCTGACCGTCTCTGTCTCCTTGCTGTCCTCTTCCCTTGGAGCTGGGGCCTGGTCTTCTCCACGGCGGATGGTTGGGGTCCTGCGTCAGCGGGGGCAGAACCAGCAGGCAGGATGCTTTGATGCTTCTTCTCAGGCTTACACTCACCAGACTGACTTGTCAGATACTGAGAACGGGACCGCTGAGAGCTGGGCTCTTTGGCTGTTACAATTTCAGCTTTTTTGAGGGTCAGCTTTTCATTTGCATCTGGTACTAGAACACCCTGGTCACATACTCATTACTTCCTGACTGTTCTGCTCTTGGTTCTCTGCCTTCTTAGCTGAGTTACTTAGTGGTTTATTTTTATCGAATTTTAGTGGTAGCTAATTGTTTTCCGAGTATTTGATTTTCAATCCAGATCTTCTCGCAGTTTTGAGCTTTCATTTGACCAAGTATCTGTTATTCCACCAAGTTTCCCATAGCGTGTTTTTTCATTATCTTTCTTTCCTTCTAGACTTTATATTCCTCGAGGGTTGGGACTGAATTTGTGCTGTTCCTGACAGTGTCCTCAGCACTTACTGCAGTACCTGACACATAGCAGGTGATAGACAATACACAAATATCAATGGGATGTAATCAACAGTAAGTCTGTTATCAGTGTTGGAAACCAGTGTTCATATAGAAATTGAGAATTCATATAAGATGTTTAGGCCTTTCATTGCCATCATTAGTGCCAGAGAGTCTGTGTGTTTTAAATAAGCATATCCATACACGAAAATCAGTCATGGTCATCTGGCAGGGCATCTGTTTAAGAAGTAGTAGTATATAGTTTTCACTGTGTTGTTAGGTGTTGCACATTGAGAGTTCTCTTGAGTTTGATTAAATGTATATTTTTTATATTTCTTGCAAATAGAAGTTTTATGGCACTATAAAGAAGTGAATTTAATGGCCCTATTTTTGTTCATTAGTAATTATACACTGTAGAGTAAATTCTCGTTAAAAGGCCCTTAAATGCCTGCTTATAAAAAAGAGAGACCTCTTTGATTTTGTTCTCCATACTATTCCAGTTATTGTATTGAGGCAAGTCATCAAACTCTTTAGTAGTCTAAAACCTTTAATTTGGTTTCAGAACAGTAGTCATATATTGAGTATCCAAATTACCATGTCTTTAACAAGTAATGCAGACACTTATTAAAAAGGTAATGACCATAACTTTTCTTGTAGAATTTCTTATGCTAATTTTTTTAAGGAGGAGTTTTGAACTAAATTTCCCGTGAAGGCCAAAATCATACTTTTAATGATGGTGAAGTACATGTGTCGTGTAGAGAGGAGGGGGTGGTAATTTTTGTAGTGGTATTTTTAAGTGGACAGTTTACTAATTATATTGAGGTAAACACTTTATAACTCTTAAGAGGAAAACTTCAATTATCTGAATGAAATGAGGTACGTGAAATTAATTCAGATAAGTGAGGGAATCCTTAGTGTAAATGATGCATGTCAAGGGACATGACCTCAATCTTGAATTTTTTTTTTTCTATATATCTGTCAGCTGGTTTTACATGACTAGATTCTGATTCTTTTTGGTCATGCTGGGAATCATTGATGGAGGAGGTAAGGTTTGCTCTGTAATTTTTTTTTTTTATCTTTGCCACAGAGGGAATCCAGAATATGGTATTCTGTGACAAGTGTAATTGCTCATCTCTTGCCTGTAATGCCTGCCCTTTTAGGTGGTACACCACAGCCTTCCATTTTGTCACCTTCCTGTCAAATGTCAAGTGTGTGGGGGAACTCCTTGAGAATACAATTGGTTTGAAATTAAAGCCACATTCCTTTGTCCAGGCTCAAGATGTTTGTATTTCTGCAAGTTCTTACAACAAGTTGTGAAGGTGAATTGAGCTGGATAAACCTTGATTCTTTTCCTTTCCACGTTGGGGTTTAATGTTAAGCAACAGTTTGTACTGTCAGCCCTTGAAATAGAAACAAACAGTGGAGCATAACCCTTGACTTTTGCAAATTCTAACTTGAAATTAAAATTTTTCTGATTGATTAGAATGCTAGTGTCTTAGGGTAATGATTTCTGCTGCCATTTACTGAGGTTTGCAGCATTCCTGGGTTACTGGCATCTGAAAGTTATTGTGCAATCTGTAGATAGCCTGTGGCTATCCTCTGGGCCTTTTTTTTTTGTTATTTTGTTTTTAAACAGAGGTAGGCTTATTTTAGCCACAGAGATGTGTGCCATCTGACACCTCTGTAACTGAATTTTATTTCTTTCTTCAACAGTACTGTAACTGAATTTTATTTCTTTCTTCAACATTACCTATAGATGTTTTACTTAAAGCACCTTAGAACATGGCTTTTTATTTCCAGCATGCACCAGCTTGCTTTTCATCTCTTGATCTTTGAGATGCAAGATGATTCATATGTTGATTGCCTTGGTTAGAGTTGTTATGATATCAGCAAGTTCTGTATACAGACATTGTGAACAATTCCTAGGTCATTGCCTTCTTTAATATATGCAGGCCATGTAATTGAAGAGTTTAGGCTTCAGGGTGAGTCCAGACTGATTTTGACTGTACCATTTGTGAACAGCATGTCTTTGGGGGAAGTTAGTTACTTCTCTGGGTTTCAGTTTTTTCATCTGTAATACTGGAATAATATCAGTTGAGTGTATTGAGTATTTTTTTTTTTTTAAGAGAAAGCTTATCTGTATTGATTCATTGTCCTGTTCACAGCTAAGTGTTTAATAATGTGAATTAGTGAACTATTTATCTGGATCATACACTGTTTTAAAGGGAAATAGACTTTGTTCTAGTTCATGACAAATAGTCAATTAGCAAGAATTATTACAAATAGAGGCCTTGCTCAGTTGTCTTGTTTAAAACTATGTAAGACTTTTGTAACCATCAGTCTCTTTATATGCAAAGGATATGTTGATATTTGGTATAGGAAAGCAGAATGTGTACTGTACTCCTAGGAGTGAGACAGACTTGGATTTATTTATATAGATGATCTAACAGTTGGGTCATCTTGGGCAGGGTACTTTACTTTTTTGTTTACAAGTTTCATCTGTAAAATGGTATTAAAGCATAAAGAGTTAAGAAGGGAAAAAGGGATAATAAAAAGGTTGTTAAGACTAATATGAGGTAGGCAAAATACTTAAAGTAAAAGTGAAAGCTGCTTAGTCGTGTCCAACTCTGTGTCCCCATGGACTTTACAGTCCATGGAATTTCTCCAGGCCAAAATACTGGAGTGGGTAGTCTTTCCCTTCTCCAGGGGATCTTCCCAGCATTACAGGTGGATTCTTTACCAGCTGAGCCACAAGTAAAGCCAGAATCCATAAATACTGGTAATTATTGACACTTTGGAAGTGTGGCTTTAGTTCTCTGCACTTCAGGCTTCCTCATCTGTGACATGAATGTCAGAGAATTGATAGAGTTACGAGGGTTAAATGACATAATACCTGTCAGAGGTCATTATATGTTAATCACTACTGTTATTTATATTATTATTAATTCACTTTCAGAACAAAATGGACCAATTTCGAGTTAAAAGGAAATAATTCATACAGGTATTTAGTGTATTTTTTATGTTGGAGGGCATTTACTATGGATTTGAAGATGGCAAGTGATCATTCATTAGCTTTCAGTGTTTTTTTTAAGACAGCAGTAGTCTACAAGTTGTGGTATATAAGCCTGTTGGTCAGTCACTGTGACCCTTTCAGGGGGATCCATTAGGTCAAAACTATCTTTATGGTAATACTAACTTTTTCCTTTTCCACTGTTTTTACATTTGCTCTGCTAATACTAAAGGTAAAACTGAATATTTTAGTAGATATTAAATGTTAGCAACACCAGACTCTACTAGTAATCATCATATTCTTCCCTGCTATGCATTCATGGTTTTTTTTTTTAAAAAACCCAAAACAAAAACTCAAAAAAGCCTGTTTTACTTGAGTGTCTTTAATGAAGCAGTAAAAGTTGCTAGTTTTATTAAATCTTGATCCTTGAGTGCATTGTTTTAATATTCTGTGTATGATGTTTGAATATTCTGTATATGTTTGATATTTCATAGGTGATGTTTTTATATTCTCTCTCTCTCTATATATATGATGAGATAGGAAATACACAAAAGGCACTTCTGCTGTATATCCAGAGTATTTTATCTCAAGGAAAACACTTAAGTATTCTTTTGAGTTGCAAGCTGAATTAGCCATATTTAACATGAAGTATCATTTTTGCTTAAAAGATTGAATACCAGACAAACCATGATTATTCAGACTTAGATATCTGGCAGTCATTTTCTTGAAAGTGAACAAAGCGATTTTTTGTTCACTTGAGGGGAAAACAATCGACAATATTTGTTGCTGATGATAAAATTTTAACTTTCTGGGGAAAATTAAAATTTTGGAAATCTTACATCAGCTGCTGTGTTCTGTCAGCTTCTCAGTACCTAAAGAGTTTTCCAATGGGATGGGTGGTGATGTTATGAATGTGCATTTTTGCTGTGGTATTAATTATGTCAGGATCTTCAATGTTTATATAACTCAATGGACATGAACTTGGGCAAAATTCAGGAGAATGTGAGGGACAGGGAGGCCTGGTGTGCTATAGTCCATGGGCTCACAAAGAATTGGACATGACTGGGTGACTGAACAGCAATAACTCAGTGAAACAATATTTTCAAAGTGATCAATATTCCAAAATTATGGTAAAAGACCCTTATAAAAAACATGTTACAGAATACAGAAAGCTTATGTGCTACTCAATTTCATATTACAGCTAGCCCACAGACGACTCCTCTACTTGTCAAGTTTTGGTGTAGTATCAAAGAACATTCATAATTATCTGAAAATGATATTAATAGTACTGTATGCTTCCTTTTTTCTCACTGCATACTTGTGTGGGGCTGTTTTCATGTAGTTCAGTCAAAACAGGTATCACAACAGATTGTATGTAGAAGCAGATAAGAGAATCCACCTGTCCTCTATTAGGTTAAACATGAAAGAAATTTGCAAAAGTTGGAAGCTGTGTCATTTTTAACACTAAAGTTTTTTTGTATAGTAAGTTTTCAAAAATATATTCTCATATTAACATGTCATTAAAATTTTAAAATGAATCACTCTGAGGAAAGCAGAGCATATTTTCTCACAAAACTGGAGCTTAATCATTGTCTTGCACATTCTAGAAATGGAAAATAATTCTGTTTCATTTAACAGATATTTGTAGAGTGTATATGAATAAGCAGTTTCCACTCTGCAGGAACTCAGCCTTGATAGAGAGATGAGATACATGTCTGCATTTTCAGATACTAGCAGTTTACTGAAACAAGTGCTTTAATAAAACATTTAATGTTGGATTTTTTTTACCTAAAAAAAAGACAGTAAACTCTAAATGCTATTTTATTACCTGATTTTCTTCCCATTAATCTGTAGAGCAACCCTCTTTTTTTTCTTGTTAATATTTACAGATCTATGATTTCATTTTATAATAGCGAAATTGGAAACAGCCTGTGTCCATGGATGGGAGAATCAGCTTAATTGTGTGGTATCTCATGTATCAATTTTTAAATTATAAGTCAAGCTTAAAAAGTTTAAGATGAATCAGTAGTTAAAATTTTCTCCTTTAATTCTTAATATAGTAAATACTGATAATTATGACTCACTAACAAAAAAAACTCTGGGAGTCCTCAATTTTCAAGAGTGCAGAGTCTTGATATTAAGAAGTTTGAAAACTGTTTAAGGAAATTAGGCTAGATTCATCAAGTGAAAGTTCTAAAGTTGTAATATTTTGCATATTCCTTTGGAATATGGACTACTTACCTCGTTTCTTTTTCTAGTTGTAACGATATGTCACTCGTTGGAGTTCTGTGTCGTTTTCCAAGCAGGCAGAAGTTTCCTGTGTGTGTTTTTAAAAAAGATTTTCATTTTTATTTAAGATTGATGCCACCTAGATTGTTGCTACTCAGAGTTGAGATAATGGTTAATGGTGATTCCATCAGTGTATTCATTCTTGATACCACTCTTTTGGTTGTGAGCTGTTCATGTTGTTTTAAGAGCTATTCTCCATGGCAGGTTCTTCAGGATTGCAGTGAAATCCCCTCTGCTGAAAATAAACTGCTGTTTTCTCTGAAGTCGTCACTCTAGGCTAACTTGTCTGCTGTGAAGTCTTCCTGACATTTCATAGCTAGTTTTCAGATGGTCAGTCCACAGCTTATGAATGTGTTTGTGAATTAGTTATTTGCAACAATATAATATGCATTAGAGATGGATTCCATAGTGCCATTAATACTATGGGCATAGCCTTGTTTTGGATTATTAACATCTTTCTGTAGGGAATTATATTCTGACTCCTGGAAGTCTAGTCAAAATCATTACTTCATTGCAGTCCCAGTGGCAAGAGACTCCCTTTTTCTGCTTGCAATAGAAATAAGAGTGCTAAAGCTTTTTTTAAATAATATTAATCTTTATTGGAGTACAGTTGCTTTACAATGTTGTGGGTAAAGCTTTAATACAAGCAAGAGAGGCATTCTGAATCAGTACTCGAGATACAGGTATCCTTGGGACCCCAGCTGTGTAGAAAGGGTGGTAAGTAGCTCTCAGATGAAGCAGGTATAGAAACTTGGGGCCAACCAGCAATGGTGGAGGAAAAAAAGAGAAGGGATGTTCTGGATGCTGCTTGGGAGTGATGCTAATAGATACCTTTTTGTGTCAGTTGCTAAAATAAGGGATGGGTAGTCTTAGGTTGGGAGAGCCACTGTACAGAGTTTTGTTGTGTTATACTCCTGTGTCTGGTTGTTCTGGGAACTGAGCTCGAGAGGTAGAATGACAAACCAGTTGACAAGGTTGAAGTCACAGATGTATAGGCCAGAGGTTTGAATGTAGTAGGAA